CCGGCCGCAGCTCACACTCCTCACCGGAGCCAATACTGAGGCTCCATGATTCCAGACGCAGTGTGACACGCACGTTCCAAACAGAGACAGGGACCAGGACGGGGACGCAGCGCCCTGCCCTGCCTCCTTGTGGGCGCTGGCTGAGGTGGGACCTTGCCCACCAGCCGTGCCACGGCCTCACAGACTCCACCTCTGGGCTGCCACGCTGGGCCCCGACACTGTCACACACCCCACGCGGTGTCTCCGAGCCCCGGCAGCCTCTGCCCCGTGGGGGCCTTGCCTGCTGGGCTGACCGCAGTGACCCACCACAGCACCGGCTCGGTCTCTCGGCGCTCTGGAGGTCAGAAGTCAGACACAGTCCCACAGGACCCGGTCCCTTCGGGAGATCCTGGGGAGAAACTCCCCTCACCTCATCCAGTCTGAGTGGCTCCTAGATCCCTCGCTCGGTGCCCTCCCTCCATCCGCGAAGCCAAGGAGGCCCTCACTTTCAAGGTCCCTGTGATCACACGGAGCTGGTCAGTGAGGAGAGGCAGTCTCGTCTCAGCCTGCGTTTAATCACAGGCACAACCCCCGTCCAGCCCCGCGTGCACACGACCCTGCAGGCGGCCTGGGTCTGCGGTCAGGAGGCAGGCAGAGCCCGACGTTAGCGTTAGGACTGGTCAGTGAGCCTGACCCTTTCTGCGATTTTCCCGAGTGTGCATGCACGTGCCAGTGAGGGGTGCCGGCACAGCCACGCCACACGGAGGCCCGAACTCAAGCCGTCCGGCTGCCCCAGCCACCTTACCTACCAGGCCACGCTAGCCTGTTACTTACTGACTCACGCTTGCCTTCACCCTGGGGTACACGAACTGCTGCCAGTCCCTCACTGGAGAGGCCCTGGTCCAACCCATGTGGGGACCAGGGCTCGGGCCATTTCTCACCCCGGTCTTGTGAGGCTGTGTGACCTGGTTGGGGCCTCCACACAGCCACGAGTGCTCTGGGCTGCAGGAGGCCCAGCGACGCCTGGCAGGCCGTGGGGGAGCTGGCCAGGTCAGTGCTGGCGCTGTCCCTTGCAGGACTCCTACCCGAGGTTCCTGAAGTCCGACCTGTACAAGGGCCTGCTCGAAGAGGCCGCGGCCCCACAGGAGACGAAGCGCCGGTGAGCCCCGCAGTGCCCTGCAGTGGGGGGCACTCGCAGCCACCCTGCCCTTAGCCCCATCTCGCCCACAGGGTGTTCCCGTTCGTGCGGAAGCCATGGCACTCGAGCCCCAGCCCCGCTCTCCTCCCTGCCTCTAGTGAGGCTCCAGAAGCCGGCAGTCCTGGGGGTGGCGACGGGGAGTCCCAGTGAGCCGGGCCTGTCCCCGACCCCCAGCTCGTGCTAGCAGCAGTCGTCCTCCTGTCGGCCCAGAGCCTCGCTGCCTCCCCGGAGCCCCCAGATGGTGGGGAAGACAGGGCAGGCCTCTGGGAGGCCTGGCTCAGCTGGGCCCCACCGCACCCAGGGCTGGCCTGCATGTGCTCCCCCTGCTCCCAACACAGCAATAAAGACCTCGGCCCTCAGTCTGAGTCCACCCTGCTTGGGTCCAGCTCATGGAGTGAGTGTGCACATGTGCCACGATGCCTGCATGGTCTGTGCACACGTGGTGTGGCGTGCACACGTGGAGTGGTGTGCACGTGGAGTGTGACCGTCAGGGAGCGGTCCAGGTGTACAGGATGAAGCCTCCAGGACCCTGGGTGTGGAGTTGACAGGCCTCGGACTGCACTGGCTTTGGCTGTGCTGTCTGTGGCAGGGGACGGGTGCTGTCCACTCAGGAGGCCCACACTGGACATGGTGCAAGGGAGCAGAGGGCTGCAGCTTGAACCAGCCTGTCCTGATGCAGTTGTGCCCAGCTTGCTCTAACCTCAGAGCCACCAAGGCCGCAGGGCTACAAGCCCAGGGGTGCGGCTGCCTGGAGGGAGGAGAAGAGGGAGGAGGGCCTTCACCCCAGCACAGGCACCCCCTTCCTAACCCACCACACGCCGGTGCTCACGGTCCTGCACCTCCCTCGGCAGCCGCTAGGGGCGTGGTGGTTCCCGTGACCTGCAAGGCAGCCAGCCTCCCGAGGGGCTTTGGGCCCCTGTGCTGGGGGCCGGGCAGACTTTGCCAACACCCACACACTCCGGCCCTGACTTGGGCTCTGGGAAGCTAAGGAGCGCCACCTCCTGTCCTCACTCACGGGGCCTGCCCTCAGGGTCATAAGGGCAGAGTTACTTCCCTCAGGGACAGCTGCGTCCTGAGCCAGGGGCGCTTGGCCACTCAATCCCATCCCTGTGGGTTCTCCCAGGACGCCCACTGGGAATGCCTGCAGGGCTCACTCCAGCAACCGCCCTCATCTCTGCCCCCAAAGCTGCATCTCCTGAGCTCCACCTGGGTTCTTCCTGCCTGCCAGAGACACCAGACCCTGGTCACAGTCCCTGCCAGCGCAGAGGACAGAGGATGCGGGTGCTGAGGCTGTGCTGCCTGTCCAGGGGGTCACCCACGTTCTCGGGCTATGTGCCCTTACTGGCAGCAGGCCTGGGAGGCCATGCTGGAGGGCTGGGCACCAGGCCCCACGGGCAGGTCTGGGCACACGCTCTTGCTGCCCTGGTCACTCCTGCAGGGACAGCACCTTGCCCCCGTCTGGAGCAGAAAGGCACACCTGACCACGAGGTTGTGCAGACAGGGCAGAAGTGTTTATTCTGGTCTCCAAGGTGACAGGGCAGCAGGCTGCTGTGGCTGCCAAGCTGGGCCCGCTCCTGGGCAGGGTGAGCTCTGTCGGGTGCCACGGTGGCCCTCAGGCCTAGGAGCAGCAAGGCACGGAGGTGAACCCCACATCAGGCGACACCATGGTGGCATCTGAGCACCGGGGCGGGGAGCCCTGCCAGGCACCGGGCTCCTGAGACTCAGCTCCGGTGTGCTGCGGGGCAGACAGACCAGGCCCAGCCCCGGCCAGGACCAGGGTGCCCAGCAGCAGCAGCAGGTGGGTGTAGGGCGAGCAGGCCATGCCACTGTCCTGGCAGGGAGCCCCCAGAGTGCTCTCCACACCCCCCACACTAGTGGCTTTTTCTGGCTCCAAAGGACACA